GAGACAGGGGAAATAAATCTTGGCTTAATTAAAAAAATATATCAGGGGAGAAAAAATAATGAAAATATTTGAATCACTAAACTCAGCGACATTTGTAAGTGTGCTTGGACAATGCTCGAGTAGATTGGCTTGCTTTGTGGCTACATGCTCTTGAAGTGGCTACTTAAATGCAGGAATCTTGATGCCTGAGGTGCTCCAGCATCAAAACCGAGCCTAGATCAGCCTTGCCAGGCGGAGACCAGCCTTGCCAGGCAGAAACCAGCCTTGCCAGGCGGAGCAGGGGCTGATGCCTGGCTGGGTGCTGACGCTGTCTCGCCGGCGGGGATGGGGACGGTGCCAAGCTCCAGCAATGGCTCTGTCTGCAAGGCTGCTCCTGGGACAGTCACGCCCTGCTCCCGTCAGAGCAGGGCTACGGCTGCCCCAGCAGCGCCAGCCCTTCTGGGTCAGACCCTGCTCCCCAGGGGCCCTGTCTGAGCACCGCGGGCTGTCCGCAGGGATACCGCGTTCACCCGTCACAGAAGGCCAGCCCTCGCTCCCTCCGCCTTTTACCAGCCATCTGTTGCTTGTCCCTTCCGTGGCTCATTCACAGATGTCACTGCAGATCTTTTGTACAAAATATTCCCTCCGGCATATCTGTTGGCGTGTTTGTTTTTTTGTTTTTTTTTTAAATAAGCCTTTATTTAATGTTATTTAATTACTTTTCAATACATTTAAGTTTCACTAATGCTTCCATAAATAATGAGATGAAACAGCTCGTTACATCACTCCAGGGTATTGGATAAAGGTGAACATTTCTCTCCATCTGTTTTACCAATAACCTAAACTAACGCAGTTTCCAGACCACAGCATATGATTTAAAGTGAACTGAAGGCAGTGAAAAGGTCTCTGGTGACACATAAGGTCTTAGAGGAGACTGAACAAAGGTGTCCTATAAAATAAATTTCTGGCCAAGCAAAACTGGAAAGGCAGAAAGATTACAATTCCTCTATCGTAACAGCAGTGACTCATCTGGTTGCATAGTCACTTGGGGTGAAAAAGAAAACAGTTACTCAGTCTCTCAGGGATTTAGACACAGAAGAATATATTATGCAAGTTTTAGCAGCGTTGCTAATGGCCTTGAAGCGCACAACTCTACTCTGACTCTCCCTCAGCTCAGCGGATCACAAATAAGATGACTCACGTATCCATGACATGATGTGTCTAAGAAGTGCAGAGGCAGGTGCTAATGCAGGCGCAGAGCACGCAGTCAAGGAAGGAGGAGAATTATGAAATCGTGAGCCAAGGACTGCGGAGAAAAGCAGCTGGCATATTTGAAGACTCGAGAGCGCGGACTCGGTTGACTTTTATTGATCTCAGATCGCAGGGGGTTGTGAGCGGAAAGCCAGCCCGCGTGGAGAGGAGCCACGCTGCCGGCACCGGCCGCCCGCACTTCCCCGGGGAACCGCAGCAGAGGGCACGCGTCGGCCTTCGCGCGCCGGTGGTGAGCGAGGCCCTGCGTCGACACGACTCGCCGAGACCCCAGCGAAGGTCGTCTGGGAGCTCCGTCAACTTAGCAATGTTTATACGGGGGACAACTTTCTACCCTGCTGGAACGTCATGGTTTTGTAGAAGCTGTTAACTCTGACCACTTAAAGACTAATTAAACCCACCGGTGGTTTCAGCCGTAGCAGTATTTAGCTAATGGCTAACTTCCTCACAGACGGAGGACTTTGACGGCTATTCTCAAAGCACGGTTTCAAATCTGGATGGTGGAATAGAGCTCAAGCCAAAGCCTCAACCAAACATCTGGAAAAGCAGCTGTCCCGAAAGAAAACTCTGCAATTCTTTATGCTCTGGAGATCTAACCAAAGCACAGTTATAAATACTGTTTAAACCCAAACGCTTCACAGAAGTCCGATAACTAGGAGGGTTCTATTACAAAGCTGGTGCCGATACCTCAAAATTTGGAAGTTTATGCAGGCTAGAGGACTGCAAGATGTTGAGACCTGGATCCGGGTCAAGGCAACGCTACTGCAGAAACACAGAGCACGTACGATTTTTTAATTTTTACCGTTGGTTTGACCCAGTCATTCCAATTTGCAGGTCCCTTCACCTGACTGAAAGATTCTGGATGGTCAAAGGATTATTCGATTCTAACCTGTACGTGGGACCTGCAAAAAGACAGTCCATGCAGAGCAGGGACCCTCAAATCCTCCGGGGAGCGTCAGGAGAAGTTCTGGCTTTTTGTTATCATGACAGGGAGACCCTTGAGATTAACAAGAATAGCGCTAACGCACGAGCTTGAGTGACATTTTTTTATGAGCTCAGTTGCACAAAGAACTGCAGAGAGCTACTTTCAAATGAGCATATCCGACACATTTCCTTTAAACGTTACCTCATTTCGAGGTTTTTATTCTAGGCATCTCAACTGACAGATAGATACGTAGGGGATGTAACGTACAGATACGTAAGGGATGCACCGTTTTGTGCCGCTGTCGGAACCGATTACCGTACCAGAGCAGGGTATTTTTGTACAAACTGGGATAACCTCCTGCCATATCCTGCCTCGTTCCCACAGCCGCTAGGCTGCCTTCATCCTTATCTCCCGTTAAACACGTGTGGGTGGAGGTGATGTTACGCAGCATCCGAGGGGGTTTATGTTGGGAAGTAAAATGAGCGCTTGGAAATCTCTCGTTACGTGGATGGTGGAAGGAAAAAACTTTTTCTCTGTATCGTTTGTCTTTCCCTGGCATAGTCCAGCGGGGGATCCCGCAGTACTTACCAAAGGTACTAGTCTCACAAATTTCCTGTGAAGAAAACCTCTCAGGCTCAGGATTTAGCTGAGTTTCATCACCATATTAGTAATAAACCTATTATTTACCTAGGATTACTGGGAAGGGAACACAGAATTTTGGATTCTGCCTTTATTCGGCATACATTCCTGTGAACAAAGAGTGAAGGAGCAGGGATGTGGCAAAAGCCTCCTTACAGACCCAGCCGGTGCACCCAAAAGGGCAATAAGAGATATGTTAATAATAAAGTAAAGGCTCATCTATTATCTGAAGGAAGCACAGTTTCAACGCTCTATGGTGTGATCTTTTTCTGAAAGAAGCCTGTGTGTCTTCATGAATGAGGCTGATTACAAGAGATGAGGCTGTTAACATCATGTTCGCATATTCCAAGTGTTAAAGCTGCTGTGGAAAAGAAGTGGCTGCTTTACTGGATGCTTTTTGTCATTTCTTGGCAATTTTAGATGGCAATAAAGCTGTCATTCTGATTATTTGTCCCCTTCTGTGGTGAAAGCAGGTTTTTTGGAAAGGGACAGCGTGAAGGAAAGAAGGGTCTGACACAGTGGAAGTGATGGGCGATAGCTGGAATCGCTACAGCCAGAATATATCCTGTAACTCACGCTGGCCAGCTCTGACCCTGCCCTCTGAGATTTTGCAACACTAATGCCACTTAAACAGCTCCAAACTGCTTTCCTAAACTTCTGTGTAAACTTTTGTCGCCTTCTCGCTGCCGTTATATCCTCACAGCCATCTCCCACCCATTTCACTTGCTCGCAGACCCCAGCGAGGAGGAGCGGTCGCTCAGCTGTCTCCCTCCGACTCCTCCGAGCTGCAGGCCAGGCGGGACGCCGGCGATCCGACCCGCCAGGCCCCTGCGCTCCGGGCAGCAGCAGCGCAGCGTCTCTTTCCACATGGCTCCTCTACCTCGTCTTCCGTTTTAAAGGAGGACATCTCTAGCTTTGACAGCCGTGCACCTTCAAAACACGAGCGGAGCCTCGCGTGAGCTGATGCACAAACGTCTCCTTGAGAAACCCCACCTCTGACAGGCCCGGGAGCTTTCCCGCTCCCGCCCAGCGCCCCGTGATGACGCCGTACAGGCCAAAACCCACGGACAGCGGTGGGCGCGCAGCAAAGCACGCCCCAAAACCGGGGCATCCCCATGACGCGAGTTCTGCGGCACGGCTGCTTGTGCAATGCCGCGGTGGGGCAAGGATGGGAACGAGGACCGGGCTCCCCCCGGTCAAACGGCTCCGAGCGGCTGAGC